GTTCTACTTTGTACGCTCTAATATTCATACCACTTGCTTGTTATTCTGTCACCAATTTTTTACTTTCTTTCAATTTTTTTAGCTACTCTTTTCCTTTAACGAGCATTATGAAACCCACACAGGCTACTTGTAATAAAAAAATTTTATACAAGAGAATTGTATCACCAATGACATCCTCCCTAATCCTTCCTTCTATAATTTCATCAATAAACATTATGGTTTTTACATTCTTTCAGAATTTAAGGTATTAGCTAAACTGAACTTCTAGCTTTCTACCAATATCAATAAACAGATCTTTCTTATCAAATGCAGGAAAGAAGGTATCATACCTAATTTTTATCGCCTAACTTTTACAAAATTTTCTCATCTGAACAATTCTCTTAACAACAAGTTTTCTAGACTTAGTTTACATATTCTCTCACTAGAAATCAAAAATTGCATTTGTCACACCAATAACCTGAGACGTGCTATTGATAAAATCTATTCTTGGTTATCGTATTCTGTTGAAACCGAGATCCTGGAGAGCTTCTCTGACTTTGAATCCATTCGTATTAAGAAGAACTACAACAAATCCAAAACCTCATATATTAAAAAATTCAATAAATTACACGAATCAAAAATGAACTCGTCAAAAATCATCCTGAACGAATCTCTTACCAATAAATGGCTAAAAAATCTATCTAATATCCATATACCTGATAGACTACTCTATATTTTTGCACTAGGCCCAAATTTTGCTATTCCTAACAACTGTCACAACTTTAATTTTATCAAAGTACTCAGCAGATTAGAGTCAAGCTTACAGAATATAAAAAATCCCGAAATTAAAACTAATACCCGATCAGCTTTTTGTAAAAATTTTCTCTCGTTTATTAAATCTTTTAACTTAAAAAAAATCGACAATATTGACATCCTTAGAGACATTAAAACTTGCAAACTTTTTATTAAAGAAAACCCTAACATTTTAATTACGAGGGCCGACAAGAAGAATATCACAGTCATTTTGGAAAAAACCACGTACCTAGAAAAAGTCTCCGAATTAATTTCAGACACAAAAACATATTCTCAGTTCTTGTGTAGCAGCCGAAGAGTACACATCGATTAAATAACTAATATTATTGTGATGTTCCCAGTGACTAACGGTTCGGGCGGCCGGCCGCCCGATCCGAATTCTGATACCTGCGTTTCTGATATCGGTGCAACGATACCAGAAGCGACGAACACTTACGTAAACAAATTAAATGCAGATATGGAAGTTTGTGATATAGTAAGTAAGAATTTAAATAAAAAGATCGCTAATGAGAATAAATTAATGAAAGAAAGTTTAAATTGTAAAAGTGGATTTAAAATTAGAAAGATTGTTAAAGGCGTCAAGAAAGCTAATGGCAGTATAACTAAAGCAAGTAAAAAAGAAAAAGGGTTATCAAAACAAACCAACAGTGAAACAAACAAGAAGGCAGTGTGTGTAAGCGAAGAAATAATGGAAACAAATATTGAATCGAATAAAAATGACAATAAAGCAGCTAATGATGTTAATGAAAATGAAGTTACAGTCTCAGATAATGAGGTGAATAAATTAACTAAAAATAGTATTCTGAATAATATAAATCGATTTGAAGATTTTGACATGGAACCATACATAATTTATGTCGAATCAATAGATAAAAATATGGGACGTCTACACCCTATGGCGTTAGGAAAAATAATACATAATTCAGGTTCACACTTTAAAACAGATTTGTTAGAAGTTTCAGTTGCGGGGAAAAACAAAGTGAAACTGCAATTTAAAAATGCTAATACGGCAAATAATATACTAGATGAAAAGCTTTTGGAAAAGAAAAATCTAAAAGCATATATCCCGAAATATTTGCTTACCAGACAAGGTATAATATTTGATGTGGATTCTGAATTATCAGAAGAAGAAATTTTGGACGCGATTGAATCCGACATACCTGTCCTTGAAGTCTTACGTATGAAAGCAAAAAATACTGACGGAACGAAGGTTAAATCACAATGTGGTAAAATAACGTTTAGAGGTACAGTGTTACCTAACAAAGTGGCAATCAATTCAGTTAAATGCGTGGTCAGGCCATTTATTCAAAAAATTGTGCAATGCTATAGATGCTGTAGATTTAATCATATAAAGGAACAGTGTAAAGGAGATCAAAGATGCATGAAATGTTCCGGTCAACATAATGTAGTTGATTGTAATGAACAAAAAGTGGAATGTGCATTATGCAGAGGAAACCACCCTGCAAATAACAAAGAGTGTCCGGTATTTATAAAAAATAAACAAATAAAAGAAATGATGGCATGGCAAAATATAGCCTTCCATGAAGCAAAAAACGCCTTAAACCAAAATAAATACGCTAGAGTGGTGAGAACAGGGTATGCTAGTAATGACTGGAATAGAGATTTTCCAGTTTTTCACACAAAACAGAGTTGTTATGCGGGCAAATCAGATAACAATTTGGACAAAAATAGATTCGAAATATTATCAGATTTAGAGGAAGTAGGGGAAGCTGAATATGCTAATACTATACAGTTCAGTAAACCAAAAAGATTTATCTATAAATCTTCAACCAAAAATAGGTCGATTCCAAAATCTACATCGAGAAATAATATTGAAAAGGAACGAGCAACAATTCAAAAACATAGCACCGAACCCAAATATAATCCAAGTAAACGCTTGAAAACAAACACTGAACATGAACAGGATAGTAGTAATATCATTGGTAATCAAGATAGTAGTAATATCATTGGTAATCAAGATAGTTCCATCGATTTACTTGAAGACTTTATAGATAACATTAAACGGATTTATATGCCGAACAATACTGAACACTATAAAATATTAGTTGAGATATTAAGAAGGATGGAGAGGTCACAACTTAGACTTGATAAAGATAATAGTGATTTATGAATCTGGTAAACCGTAAATATGAATGTCATTACCTTATACAATATGAGTATTTTACCTGTAGTAACCTTTGATTGGCATGTTACTGTTGTTGTTAATGTTACGATTTTATATTCACATATCTCCTTATGATCAAAATTTTTCAAATTAATATTAGATCACTATATTCAAAGAAGTTGCAATTGGAAGCCTACATGAAAGCCAATTAAATTGATATTGTAATTTTATCTGAAACATGGATGAAAAAGGAATATAAATATGATATATCCGGATACTCTTTAATACATACCAATAGAGACGATGGATTCGGAGGTGTAGCTTTATTTATTAGCCATAGACTACGTTCCGAAACTATAAATACCGAGATATACAGCAACACAAAAATTCAAATTTGTGGGGCCAAAATCATAGTCAATAATAGTACTGTGCTTAATATTTTTGCGATTTACTGTGCTCCAGGACACAGAACAAATCTTACCTATTGGACTTCTTTATTCGGAATCATATCGCCGCCTTTTCTAATTGCAGGTGACTTCAATGTGCATCATACTAGTTTTGGCAGCATTCATAATAATCATGATGAAATAATTTTAAGCGAAGCCATTAACTCAGAGGGGTTATGTGTTCTGAATGACGGATCGCCTACGTTATTGAGAAGACATGACAGAAATCCTTCTGCGGTAGATTTATCTATATGCAATCCATCTGTGATGCTCAGTGCGGAATGGCACGTCACAGATGAAACTTTGGGATCGGACCACCTTGGTATATCAATTCGGATTGGAGTGAGTAGGGTTAATATGAATAACAATACTATGAGAAACGGGCATATTTGGAAGATCAAAGAAGCTGACTGGAAGAAATATGAGCAAGTGACAGATAAGCTATTATCAGAATTGATATTTGATAAAGATCCATCGGCTACGTACGGTAAGTTTGTTAAATGCATAAATCAGGCGGCCTTGTTTGCAATTCCCATGTCAAGACCTTACTTCGGTAAAAAATATCGATTTTTGTCAACGCCTTGGTGGGATGAAGAGTGTGAGAAATTCAATAAGATGAAGTTAGAAGCTATCAGAAAATGCAAAAGGTCTCCAGTTTTGGCTAATTACATCGAATATAAAAGAATTTTAGCGAAATGTCGTATAACGTTCAAAAAGAAAAAACGGGACAAGTGGATTGAATTTTGTAATTCTTTTACAAGATCAACTTCATCTAAATACATTTGGGATAAAGTAAAAGCTTTGAAAAATAGAGTAGTGCAAACAAATCCTTTTCCTATAGATGAATCAGATAAGTTCCTTAACAATATTACCCCGGCCTCAGCAACAAATGAGGTAATTATTCCAAGCGCACAAGAAATGGATGTACTGGAAGGTCCTTTCGCAATGCAGGAGCTTCTTTTGGCACTAAAAACAAATTCGAACACTACACCGGGTGCGGACAATATTCACTATCCAATGTTGAATAAATTATCCAGTTTTGGCAAGAATATGTTGCTACGGGTTCTTAATGAAGTTTGGACCACCGAAACAGCTATTCACGAGTGGAAAAATATAATTACAATTCCAATTCTTAAACCAGGCAAAGATCCTTCAAGAGCAGAATCATATCGTCCTATATCTTTGTCTTCATGTATAGCGAAAACATTCGAACGACTGATCAAAAGAAGATTGGAATGGTGGGCGGAAAGCAACAGGATATTCCCTAGTTGCATGCTAGGCTTTCGTAATAATCGGGGCACGATTGACGTTATCACATCATTAGTATATGATATCAAAATTAATTTAGCAAAAATAATCTCCTGATTGCTGCAAACGTGGACTTAGTTAATGCATATAACTGCGTCCAAATACCTATATTAATGAAGATTCTGTCTGATATCAAGATGCCAAGAAGATTTATTCTTCATATATACCACCTCATATCAGACCGCAGAGTCAATCTCAGGTGTAACAATTTACAATTCGGACCACGTAAAATGAAAGAAGGACTACCTTAAGGATCCGTTCTTAGTCCGCTATTATTCAATCTATATACCTGCAAGTTACAAACCGAGCTAGATCTGGAAGTCAAAATTATGCAGTACGCGGACGATATTATACTTCTACATAAGGCTCATACTTTGAATGAGGCTATTGATAAAATGAATATAACAATGCAGCTCTTCCATAATTGGTGTATATCGTTAGGGTTTTTAATGTCAGAAAATAAAAGTACAATAAGCCTCTTTACAAGACATAGGAAGTCTATAAATCCAAACTACATCAGCATAAACAATTATGTTCTGAAGGTTGAACCTACAATTAGATGTCTCGGGCTACTTATTGATGACAAATTAAAGTGGAAACCACACATCGATTATCTAGTTTCTAAATGTGAAGAAGCACTGAATATTCTCAGGTTTCTTAATCACATAAATTATGGTGCTGATATCAAGATTTCTCTTAGAATATACAAGCAATTAATACTATCTAAGTTGGATTACGGTAGTTTCATATATGGCGACGCATCCAAAAGTGTACTTAGCAAACTAGACACAATCCAAAACAAAGCTTTGAGGTCTTGTTTGGGGGTCATGCGTTCCACGCCCATCAATGAATTACATGTTGAAGCTAACATGTATCCTTTACACTTGAGAAGGAGCTTGTTGGCTTCAAACTTCATTATAGATAGAATGAAATTTAACAACGTAGTATTAAAGGATGTGAATCAGATCAATAATGAACTGAACAGTACATATTGGAGAAATAGGAAGAGGCCTATTCTAGTAACTGCGTATCGTGAAGTGGTAGAAAAATGTAATCTCTTACAAACTTGGACAGCAACCTCAAGATTTCATTTCAAGTACAATGTTACTTCTTCTAATCTGAAAAATATAATTCTAATCGATTTTGCCAATGTGCACTATAGCGGAGATACCAATAAATGCAGGATGGAGGTCGAAGGAAGTATACGGGAAATATTTGAAGACTATGATATATTTTATACAGATGGTTCGAAGAATGCAGATGGTGTTGGTGCGTGTTTTTACCATCAGGGGACAAATTCCTTCACAAAATATAGACTAGATAAAGATGCGTCAATATATACAGCGGAAATGTACGCTATTAATAGGTGCGTAAAGTATATTGATGAACATAATGTAAAGAAGTCGGTCATAATCAGCGATAGCAGGTCTGCCCTTGAGGGCATGTTGTCGTTGTTAAAGAACCCGTCATTATTAACTTTAGATACATTAAATGACATACATGCGATATTATCAAAAAAATTGGAGTTACGCATTATATGGGTAAGAAGCCACATTGCGATAGCTGGCAATGAAGCGGCGGATAACGGCGCCAAAGATGCCATAAATACAGGGACTGTTGCTGCGGATGGAATATCATATAGTGATATAAAAAGATTTAACAGGGCAAACATACGGAATATTTGGCAATTGGATTTCCAGTTATCGATAAGAATTAAAGGTAGATTTTATGGTATGATACAAGGAAAAATTCCAGCCAAACCATGGTATGACGTATTTACGGAGTGTCGGCCGTTTTACGCTACACTATGTAGATTAAGACTAAATCATTCATACGCTCCATTCCACCTAAGCAGAATTGGGATCGATATCGATCCTAGTTGCTACTGCTTGGGTGAAGCGACTAGGGCGGATGCAGAACACATCATCATGGTGTGTAAACGTTGGGAAAGGGGCAGACAAAAACTATGGGAGGAAATAATAAAACATAAAATCTCCCTTCCAATTAATTTTATAACAATTTTAACAGATATAAGATTATATGGTGCTCTGTATACTTATATAAAATCTAATAATATAAAATTATAAATGAAATATACATAAGTCAGTGATATATATGTAAGACAAGACTAAGATATAGTGTAGATATAATGTATTATAGTATAAATGTTTAAATAAGATTAACTCATGTATATGGCTAATATACTAGCTTATAAAGCCAATAAATCATAAAAAAAAAACATATTCTCCCATTAACTCCGATCCCACTGACCGAATTAACCGTACTTTTCATAAATTTGTAAACAACTTAGTCTCTAACAAACAAATTACTCCACAAATCTCACTGACAATTAAAAACCTGCACCCTTACAACCCCAAACTCTACGGACTTCCTAAAATACATAAACACAACGTTCCTCTCAGACCTATCGTGGCTGACCTGAACTCACCTCTTTCAAAATTCTCCAAATACCTAAGCAACATACTCTCTTCAGTCACAGTCAAGTCTCGTTTCTTTACAAAAAACTCCTTTGAACTTGTCAACAATCTCCGCGATTCCGTTATTCCTGATAACTCCTTATTGGTTAGTCTTGACGTAGTATCCCTATTCACAAACGTCCCCCTACAATTAATTTTAGATGCTATCACTGCTAGATGGGACGAAATCTCATGTCATACAACGTTATCACTGCATTGGTTTCTCGAGTCCATAAAATTCATAGTTTCGAATACTTATTTCGAATTCAACGACCATTTTTACCTTCAAATATTTGGCACATCTATGGGTTCTCCTATATCTCCCTCACTCGCAGAAATTGCTTTACAACACTTAGAGTTGAAAGTTTTTAATTCCTACAATTTAGACCTTCATTTTTATTACTGATACGTTGATGACATCCTTAACTGTGTTCCCGTTAAAAATTTCGAACTCTTACTTCATAGTTTTAACTCATTTAATGAGCATCTCTCCTTTACGTTTGAAAAAGAACAAGAAAATTCTATCAGCTTTTTAGACGTAAAAATTATAAAAACCACAGACAATCGAATTATCACTAATTGGTTCCAAAAACCTCTTGGTCGGGTAGGTATTTAAATTATCATTCCTACCACCCTTCTAGCATGAAGATAGGCACTATTATTAATTTAGTCGACCATGCCATCCTACTCTCAGACAAACAATTTTGGCTCTCTAACTTATCCCTCATCCGCACAACTTTAATTAACAACTCATATCCACTGCACCTCATCAACTCCGTCACCTCCAACAGACTTAAAACCCTCAACAGTATGCATTCTTCTTTTTCCCCAGAAAAAATTCTAAAGACAATAACTATATAGGCAACGTTTGTTTACCTTACGTAAAAGAACTTTTTCCAGTGTGGAAAAAACTTTTTCATAAGGTAGACATCAGACTAACCTGCAACATAGATCTAACTCTTAAATCCCTCTACACAAACCTGAAATCTCCCACTAGTTTAGTACGTACTTCCAACATTGTCTACAAAATAAATTGCAATGATTGCCCTTCTACTTACATAGGTGAAACCGGACAAAATTTAATAAAAAGACTCAAACAACACGACACTAATTCGAAAAACCCCAACCAAAACCAAACTATGATAACAGAACACATAAAAAATTTCAAACACTCCTTTAACTTTTATAATGCCAGTATTCTCTACCATGAACGGAACACCATTCAGAGACGTTTTGCAGAATCTTGTTTCATATCAATATGTGATCACGCGGTGAACAAAAGATCGGATTCCTCCTTACTCTGCGATAACTACCAAGTTATACTAAATAATGTTTCCAAATTTATCTTCTCTGAACAAAACTAATTCTGACCTTACTAACCTTGCCAACACTTCCTAGTTTAACTTCGGCCTTGATACCCGAGCTTTACCTACCCATGCATAGCAAATTTTGAATTAACCTTAAAATTTTTTTATTTTAGATATTTGAGTTATTAGTACAACTACCTAGTAATACTAAATAACATTTCCAATTTTTTTCTCCTAATTCTAACCATACAAACCTAGCCTAACATTACTAGTTTCAACTCCGACCATTTTCTACCTACCCGCCCATAACAATCCTGGAATGACTCTTAAAAATCTCTCAAAACATGTGTTCATACTTGCCTCGGTACTCGCAAAGTGCAGAAGTCGTGGCAGAAATTACATAATTCTACTTACATTTTTGTTCAATAAAACTATCATTTTTCTGTTAACATCATACAAAAAATTATAAAAAATGCATAGTGTTGACAAGTTAGTTGTATAAATGTTAGTGCCAATCTCTAGTGCTGTGCACACTTCTCTATATGTAACCAACCAACTTAATATAAGTCCACTTGTATTTTATATGTATTATCCATCTTCATAAATATTTTGTTTGCTTTACATATATACGAGTTTACATATATTGTATGTTTATATATATATATATATATATATATATATATGTATTTGTATGTATATATGTATATATTTGTATATTACTTATTTACATGTATGTTTGTATGTATATACATATGTATATGTGTATACATGTATTTGTATATGCGTATATTTGTATGTATGTATATATATATATATATATTTGTGAGCATTTATGTACATGTGTATATATATGTATTGTATATATATATATATATATATATATATATATATATATTTGAATAGTCTTGAATTTGATGTTGATATATATGTTTAATTTGAGTTTAATATTCGGGCGTAACATCAATAAAAATAGTATGAGTTTTTTTAAAAAATTTTTATTTATTTAAAATCCATACGTTTCGGCTAGCATCTTAGCCATCATTCAGTGGTAATCAAGTTAACTATAAAAATTGAAACTAAATAAATTATATGAAAGGAAATTTCATGGAAAAACAATAATAATAATAATAGTAATGAAACACTTACAATTTTGTATCCTAATATAGCATATGAAACCATTATTAATCCATGGTATGAGTATGTGCACATTGATAAGATATGTATTTTTTAACACAAACATCACAAATGGTAAAACACACTAATAATCATGATAACTTGACAAGTTGTCGAAACTATGTATTTACTCTTCGGAGTTTAGGATAGAAATGTCACAACTTTCTCAAAGTAGTTTTTAGCATGTGTTGATATTTTTTGGAAAATTTAAAAGGCGATGGGATTTTGTTATTTTTTAAGGAATTTTGACACGCTATTAAGAAACCACGTGTTCGCTTCGTTCAGGGCCGTATTGTCAAAGCGTTTGTTTATCACTTTGTCGTTATGTAATTGTAAAAACAACCCCTCAGCGAATCTTCTTTTAATTGTATTCTCTTCAAAATGTAAAATTTTAGGGTTAAAAAAATCGATATTGTGATTTAAATTTTTAATATGCTCAGTTAACATTGTTTTAAATTGTTTGGGATTTTTTGAATTATTTTTGTGTTGATTAAGGCGTTTACTCAGGTTTTGGCTAGTTTCTCCAATATAAAAGAGTTCGCAATTAGAGCAATTAATTTGATATACTAAATTCCTGAGCCGGTCAAAATTGAACTTAGATTTCATTTGTGTAAAAATTGAACTAAGGGTTGCATCACAATTACATACCAACAGAATGCCACACTGTTGAAATAATTTTTTCCACGAGAAATATAAATCTTTTACGTACGGTAGGCAAATGACACCAGTATATGATTCTAAGTCTAAACGGTTTTTATGGTCTGTGAGGTCTTTTTGTTTGTTAAAAATGTAACTGCGTCTGTTATTTATGACCGAGTTGATTATGTTCGTAGGATATGAGTTGTTTTGTCAAAAGTTGTCAAATGACCACCGACTAATTACTAACTGGTACCAGAAACCAACTAGCTCCGGACGATACATAAATTACCACTCATACCACCCTCTTAAAATGAAAATAGCGACAATAATAAATTTAACAGACCACGCCATATTACTATCTGACAAAAACTTCTGGGACACGAACATTGACCTGGTTATAAACACACTGAAAAACAACTCATATCCTACGAACATAATCAACTCGGTCATAAATGTAAGTGTTTCATTACTATTATTATTATTATTGTTTTTCCATGAAATTTCCTTTCATATAATTTATTTAGTTTCAATTTTTATAGTTAACTTGATTACCACTGAATGATGGCTAAGATGCTAGCCGAAACGTATGGATTTTAAATAAATAAATTTTTTTTAAAAAAACTCATACTATTTTTATTGATGTTACGCCCGAATATTAAACTCAAATTAAACATATATATATATATATATATATATATATATATATATATATATATATGTATATATGTATATATATATATATATATGTATATATGTATGTGTGTATATATGTATATATACATGTTTATGCGTATATGTATGTGTATACGTGTATAGCTATAGTTACATAGATAGTTTTTTTTTTTTTTTTTTGTATAGCGAAGGAAATGCTTTTATGCATCCCAGACCGGTCTTCTGTCTGGGTATGTCGGACTCGATACCGCCCTGGTATAATACCGACTAAAACCTCCGCTTTGCCCCTGCCTCTGGTCCCCACGGAAACCGCCGTTAGGCATTACTTCGTGGGGGGAGGATCTAGAATGTTACAATTCTTAACTTGTTATAAACAATGTTATGATTCATAAACATTATACTTATCTTTTAAATGGGCGAAGTCCCATTCGCCCTTTCTCTCTCTATAGAACGCAGGTCCATTAAAACGTCTCTCGCAAATCTGTCTATGGCGTTCCAAGCAGCTTCACTTGTCAGCATCACTTCAACAACATTACCTGGGGTAATTGTGCGTCTCAATGTCTCCTCCACATCATCCCGTAGAGCACCAAATCGCGGGCACACGAAGAACACGTGCTCAGCATCTTCGATTTTGCCCAAACAATATGGGCAATCCGGCGAGCTATCGTGCTTGAATCGGTGTAGGTAGGCTCGAAAACAGCCATGCCCCGATAGCATTTGCCTAGTATAATAGTTTACTTCGCCGTGCTTGCGACTTAGCCGGACTTTGATGTTAGGAATGAGACGATGCGTCCATCTGCCCTTTACAGCGACATCCCACAGTCGCTGCCATCGGTCAATGCTGTTCTGCCGTTCTTCTAATCTTAACTTTTTAGGACACAGTTGTTGATGTCTTCTATGGTAAATTGTCCGTCTTTTCTCTGCTAAGACTAAGAGAGGCACAGTTCCTGAAATGACGCACACTGCTTCCGCCGATATTGTGCGAAATGCGCAAGCAATTCTTATAGCACTGAGACGGTATAAGGGCCCTGCCATTCTCCTCGATTTTTGAGATTTAAGAGCATCACCCCATATGGAGATACCATATGTCAGCACCGAAGTAATAACTGACGATAGTAATATCCTTCTGGTTTGTTTAGGACCTCCAATATTAGGCATCAGTCGAGCAAGTTTCGTCCTAACTATTGACGCCTTAGCACTAACGTGTTCCACCTGTTGATTGAAATTCAAACGAGCATCAAGCATTACGCCAAGGTAACAGATGTGAGGTTTTGACGTGATCTCAAGATTTCCTATCTTTAGCTTGATGGTCTCAATTCTTTTCCTACTAGTGATAAGAACAGCTTCACTTTTTTGTTGTGCTAATTGGAGATTCATTGTTCCCATCCACCGATTAATTTTTCTGAATGTAATATCGAATAGGCTTACGATGTCATCAATTTGTTTGGAGACAACCACTATGGCAACATCGTCTGCATATGCTACTAGTTTCACACATTCTGGAAACTCTAGTCTCAAAAGGCCATCATACATAATATTCCACAGCAAAGGGCCTAGAACAGAGCCCTGCGGCACACCTCCTGTTATATTATATTCTTCTGTACCATCGCGTGAATGGTACATTAGAATTTTGTCTGTAAAGTAGCTTGCGACTATATTGCATAGGTATGCTGGCACGTTCTTGTCACGGAGTGCATTCATAATGCAATCCCAGTTTGCAGAATTGAAAGCATTTTTTATATCCAATGTAGCTACAAGGCAGTACTTTTTTGAACCCCCCTTCCATCTGGTTCCAGCAATTGCCTCTTTGGCGGTATTAACTACCAAGTTTATAGCATCGATAGTTGATCGCCCTTTGCGAAAACCATACTGATTGTCTGCTAGGATTGGATCAACTACTGCATCTATTCTTTGGTGAATTATTCTTTCAAAAATTTTACCCGCTGTATCCAGCATGCATATTGGACGGTAGGATGATGGTTCATCTGGTGGTTTTTTTCCTTTGGGAATAAGCACTAGTTTTTGCTGTTTCCATTTTTGTGGAAAAACCCCTTCTTTCAGGCATGTATTATATGCATTAGGAAACATTGTCGGAGATGTCATAATTGATGTTTTCAAGGCAATATTAGGAATTCCATCTAATCCCGGTGCCTTGCTATTACCAACGCGATGACAAGCTTCCATCAGTTCTTGCAGTGTTATAAGTGGAATATTATTCTGTTCTACATGTGTTACCTGGTAGTTCAAATTAGGTTGTCGTGGAAACAAAGTAGTTACTTTTTTATTCAATAGTCGTGGGCAAGTTGGTGAAGGTACTGGCTGGCTTTTGAGGCGAGACATTACAGTCTTATAAGGTCTTCCCCATGGATTTTCCTCGACTTCATCCAAAAGTTCTTTCCAGCACCTAACTTTACTATCTTTGATAGCTTTATTTAGTTGTCTACGTGCTTGTTTATATTCCACTACCAGTTGTGCAGAATTACTGAGACTATATCCACGCTGAGAGATCCTTCTTTTCTTTAGGCACTCTTTACGAAGAGAGCTGATTTCTTCAGTCCACCAGTGCACAGATTGTCTTTGATCTATGCCATGTTCACGAGTCATACTGATATCACAGGTTTCGGTTATTCTCTCCATCAGCTCTCTAGTATGCTCCTCTGCGTGTTCTGAAATTATAGGTTTGCAATTTAAGGCAACTCTCATGGCGCTTTCATCAAAAGATTTTATTTTCCACCCAATGGCTTTAGATATTTTCGCATTTCTACTAATGTTTCTATTTGTTGATATTTCCCAGATGATTGCATTGTGGTCACTAGCAGTGTAGATATCTAATACCTCCCAATTGCAAATTCCTCTGACGAGGCTATTGCTAACAAAAGTAAGGTCTATTATTGAGCTTGCACTGCCCTTTTCAAAGGTTGGTTTATCACCACTATTAAGTAAAACCACGTCAAGTGCATTGAAGGCCTCCAAAAGTGCTTTACCTCTTGCATTAGTCTTCCTACTTCCCCAGTCTACCGCCCATGCGTTAAAGTCACCGGCTATCGCTACGGGGTGGTGTCGTTTTGCATCCTCCACAAGACGATCTAAAAAATCGACAAAATCTGGCAAAGAAAGACTAGGTGGAGCGTAACAGCTGTATAAATGTATGCCATCTAATGATGCTGCGACAAATCCAGCGTTGCTATTGTTAACAACATTTTGGAAACAAAATTTGCCACAGGACCAAATAATGGCTTTGGTGGTACTGTCCGTTTCCCATGGCCAATCAGTTAGGTGTTTGTAAGGTTTTGATAAGAGGGCAACATCAATTTTCATATCTCTTACCGTCTGCATAAACAAGTCGTGTGCAGCCTCACAATGATTCATGTTTAGCTGTATTATCTTCATGCTTTTACGTCGTTCATTATTTCTCTATATGGCCTCCCTATATAGAGGACATCTGTGAGTGCCGGCATGATGTGCTACATTTTCAGAGTTTCCATTTTCAGCGCATAGTGCACATTTTGCTGCATTTATACAGTTGGCTATTTTGTGACCTTCTTGTCCACATCTAAAGCATAGATTGGTCCGATTCACTTCGCTCTTGCACTGTGATCCATAATGTCCGAATAGCCAGCATTTAAAACATCGAATTGGTTTCTTGATGATTTTAATTTGACAGTTGACCCATCCAATTCGTATTTTGCTACTTTCTTGCTTTGAGCAGATCGTGTACAACTGCCGCTGGAAGAGCTACAGTAGCAATCTGGGTACCTCTATATGCCTTACGAAGCCTAATTTCTTCTGCTGCTGCTGGTGTGTTGGAGGCTCCCCCGGTTGCTTTTTGTAGTGCTATCTGGATATCAATTTTTGAGGTTTCATCATCATATCCCTTATTTCTATAGTTTCTTGGTGCCCCTTATAAATAACTTCGGCCTCATCCTTTAACACACCTGCGATAATCTGTTGCAGTCCTTGGCCTTTGTCCTCTTTTCTTAGAAATAGTTATCAACAAGTCTCCATTTCTGGTTTTGTTTATTTTGTCTACTGTCGTATTTACCTTGTCATCAGGGACATCATGTTTGATGCGACGTAATATTTCGGAATAATTAACTTTTTCGGTCGGCCGGATTAATAAGGCATTTGGTTTTGGAAAAATTCTATGATTTTTTATCATTTTATGGTTAGAGTCCTGTTCTGACAGATGTACCCTTGCTTCCTTTTTTTTGTCTTTTTCTCGGCTGAACTTTATGCCAGTCATTTACCTCGATTTCTTCTTCATTACATATTTCTATGATCGTCTGACGTCTTGGCAAACCTTTTTCTCATTAACCTGATTATTGCTTATATGTTGTGAGTTTCGGTTTCTTGTGGCTTTGCTTGTGTCCTGCCGTACACTTTTTCTATAGGGGCTGTCTCACAACATTGCACTTCATTTATCATAACTTCCGTATCATCCGTGGTTCGGCCTTTTTCCTCTAACAATTGGTTGTCTAAATCAATAAATCTTTTAATTACGGCCGCTATGTTGCCTGTTTTTATTTTTTCACCTCTTTATGTATGTTTGACTTTGATTTGACAATCATATGCAGTTCATTTATCAGATTCTCAAGGCACTTCAATGACTCATTCCGTTGTAAAATGACATTTTCCGGAATTATATGTGACAGTTCAGCCACTGGTTCTACTTTACTAGTCACACCGTCGCATGAGCTGGTCAGCGGGTTTTGGGCTATATCTGATATACCTGGACATAGCGTTTTGTTCAAATTATTGTGTGATTCATTGATTGCATCACCAGCATTGTTTGACACTATGTCCCCTCTGATGGGGATCATTTTAACAAAAATTCTACCTGCACCCAGAGGCGAGGATCACTCAGCTCACTGATTTATTAGTAACTTATTAAAACTGATGGAACTAATTATAAATTTTGTACGTCAAAATAACTAATTTCTGACGTGAGAAAAATTTCTTACATAGATAGGTATGAGTATATGTTTGTTTCATACATGTACATGTACGTCGTTGTGAATATGCATGCACGTTGCATATATGTATATACGTATATTTATATATGTATAGTCGTCCATGTATATGTGTACATATATAGGTATATATTGTTGTATCTGTATATGCAATGTGTATATATATTTTTGCATGTGTGTGTATATGTATATATGCATTTGTATATATATATATAT